TTCCACCCTTTTCTTTCGTTTCCCACGTTTGAGACCTCGCTATATTTCTGATCTACAGTATTGGAAACTGACATGACAACAGGGCTAAGCCTATCAACTACCACGTCTCTCTTTTCGACCTGCAGTTCGGTGGTTCATGGGAATACAAGGGCGCGTTGAAGATCGACCTCAAAGTCACCCATGCTACTAGCGAGATTGTGCTGAACTCGAAGGAGATCGAAGTACAAAATGCTGAGATATTGGGGAAAGATGGTACGTGTAAGAGCATGTCATTCGTATGATATGGAAGGGGGCGGGGGGGGGGAACGAAGCTAATACCGGTCTTCTTGTCATAGGGAGCCAATTGGCCAAAGCATTCGGAATCACCTACGACAAGCAATCGGAGCGCGTTTCCCTCGCTTTCTCGCAAGAGATTGCACCGGCAGAAGTTGTGCTTTCCATCAACTTTACGGGCACCATGAACAACGCCATGGCTGGCTTCTACCGCTCGAAGTATAAGCCCGTCGGAGAGCCATCTGCCGACACCCCTAAGGAGGATGACTTTTACTACATGCTAAGCACTCAATTTGAGTCCTGCGACGCACGAAGGGCATTCCCTTGTTTTGATGAGCCAAACTTGAAATCCACCTTCGATTTCGAGATTGAAGTCCCCAAGGGACAAACTGCACTGAGCAACATGCCTGTTCAATCCGAAAGAGACGGAAGCAAGCCCGGTTTGAAAGTTGTCACGTTCGAGAAGACACCGGTGATGAGCACCTATCTTTTGGCCTGGGCAGTTGGTGACTTCGAATATGTTGAGGCTATGACCGAGCGCAAATACCAGGGCAAGAGTATTCCCGTTCGAGTTTACACCACTCGGGGCCTTCAAGACCAGGCTCGTTTTGCACTAGAATGTGCTCACCGTACGGTTGACTATTTCTCGGAAGTCTTCGAGATTGAATACCCCCTCCCCAAGGCTGATCTCCTGGCTGTTCACGAATTTGTGAGTAACCATGTATTCCCCATGAGTTCCAAGCTTTTTATTTGAGCTAATTGTGCGTCTCTAGGCCATGGGTGCCATGGAGAACTGGGGTCTTGTGACCTATCGAACGACCGCTGTTCTCTTTGATGAAGGAAAATCGGACAACCGCTACAAGAACCGCATTGCTTATGTTGTAGCTCACGGTCAGTCCCTGTATTCATTTAATCCCTGGGTATCTAGGTGTCAACATAGCTTTGGTATCTGACTCACTTTATAGAGCTGGCTCACCAGTGGTTTGGCAACCTTGTCACCATGGACTGGTGGAATGAGTTGTGGCTGAATGAGGGATTCGCAACCTGGGTCGGTTGGCTTGCCGTTGATCATTTCTATCCTGGTGAGCTTTGTTCGCTTCTAGCCGATGAGCGCCTGACGCAGTATCTAATGTGCAATCAGAGTGGAATGTTTGGTCTCAGTTTGTCGTACGGAATGCCCGAGGTAATATCCATCATGTTAAGACCAATATTGACGTTCCCCCAGGCTGAAGGCGTGCAACAAGCATTTCACCTCGACTCGCTCCGCGCTTCCCACCCTATCGAAGTTCCCGTTCGGAACGCCCTCGAAGTCGACCAAATTTTTGACCATATTAGCTACCTGAAGGGAAGCTCTGTCATTCGCATGCTGAGTGTTCACCTTGGCAGAGAGACTTTCTTGCGTGGAGTTGCGGACTATCTCAAATCCCATGCATATGGTAGGGCGTCAAGGAAGAAGATTTGGGGGAACATCTGCTGAGTGATTATAGGAAATGCAACTACAAATGACCTGTGGTCCGCGTTGAGTAAAGCCTCTGGTCAGGACGTGCATTCTTTCATGGTAAGTAAACACCCAACCCTTGTGTCTTTGTTTGGGTCTTTGTTTGGTCGAATCGAGATCTAACTGTTCTACCCTAGGATCCCTGGATTCGCAAGATCGGTTTCCCGGTTGTCACCGTGGCAGAGGAACCCGGTCAGATCACCGTTAGCCAGAATCGATTCTTGTCTACCGGCGACGTGAAGCCAGAGGAGAATGAGACAAAATGGTGGATTCCTCTCGGCATCAAATCTGGCCCGGAACTGGCTACCGTTGACACCCGTGCTCTGACCTCAAAATCAGACACCGTTGGAGGAATTGGGGAGGACTCTTTTTACAAGATCAACAAGGACCTGTCTGGGTTCTACCGAACCAACTACCCTCCTCTGCATCTGGCAAAGCTGGGTCAGTCGCTTGATCTCCTGAGCACCGAGGACAAGATCGGTTTGCTGGGTGACGCAGCTGCGCTTGCAGTCTCTGGCGAGGGCACTACGCCCGCCTTGTTGACTCTTTTGGAAGGATTCAAGGACGAACAGAATTATCTGTGAGTAACACCTCCTTATGGTCCTTTGCTGTAATTTTCTGATCTCTCGTTTTGCAGTGTTTGGTCCCAAGTATCTGCGTCCCTGGCGAACCTTCGGTCGGTTTTCTCACAAAACGAGAGAGTGGCCGAGGGGTTGAAACGGTTTACCCTCAAGCTGGCTTCCCCAGCGGCAGAACGGATTGGCTGGGAGTTCAAGCCCGATGAGGACTACCTCATTGTGCAGCTTCGGAAGCTGCTCATTGCAATGGCCTGTAATGCGGGTCATGAAGGGTGAGATATTTTCCCTCGTCTCCGAATGTCGTTAAACACTCTCTAATACAGTCTTGGTACTTCATAGATTTGTCTCGGAGGCCAAGCGCCGTTTTGATCTCTGGGCGAGCGGAAAAGATACCAATGCCATTCATACTAATCTGCGGTCAGTGATTTTCAGCGTCAATGTGTCTGAGGGCGGCCATAAGGAATACGATGCCGTTAAGGAGGAGTATATCCGAACCGACTCTGTGGATGGTAAAGAGATCTGCCTGTCTGCACTTGGACGCACAAAGGATGCTTCTCTGGTGAAGGACTACTTGAACTTCGTGTTTTCAGATAAGGTGGCTATTCAGGACATCCACAGTGGTGCCGTATCTCTGGCTGCCAACTCGAAGGTCCGGAATTTGCTATGGGAGTACATCAAGGACAACTGGACTGCTGTCGAAACACGACTATCATTTAACAATGTTGTGTTTGAGCGCTTTGTCCGTATGGGTCTATCAAAGTTCGCCGATCACCGGATCAGTGACGACATTGCGTCTTTCTTCAAGGACAAGGAAACGGGGGCCTATGACCGTGCGCTCGTGATTGTCTCGGACAACATTCGAACGAATGCATCCTATAAGGAGCGTGAAGAGGCGTTGGTTCTCGAATGGCTGCAGGCACACGGTTACGCATAAATGCGCATCTACAACATACGAACTTGGTAGCTTTATGATTTTTTTAACAATAATAATTGTTCAACTAAACTGGTTTTTGGGGAGGTCGGCCTTGATACAATGTAAAAGGGGGATTCTGGATTCTAGATTCTTTAGATCATTGGTCCAGTACCCACGAGGCTGAGTTTATGCACGGGATAACAACAGTTGAGCAGGTGATTTCGGATATGGGAAGTGTAATCAAGTATAGAATGCCCCTTGTGATAGATACATCTGTAAAAAGAGAAACATAATCCAAAGAAGAGGCAAATATATAGAAAATATACATATACAAAATATACAAAATATACAAAAATCCAAGAAGTGGTTGTGACGTGAAACAAAGCTGCGCATCAGGTGCGTCTGCCTCCCTGAACCTCCCTATCATTTCAGGCGACTGTTCCATCATTGTCCCCTCCCCCGACTTCATAGGAACTTCGACTCCATCAACTTGTTTTTTTTCCCTTTATATTCCTCTGGACTTGTGTGTGCTCTAACTCTGCTTTCATTTCACCTTCTTGTCTGCCTCCAAAGTCTCATCATGAATCCCGAGTGGTAAGCCTTCCCTAATTTCCCATCTCTCCCCTCCCCCACAAATCCCCTTCCAACTATGCGCCCTACTTTGGTTGACTACACGAGCCTGCTTGTGTGTTGAACGTGACTGATGTGATGTTGATTTCTAGAGTATCGTCGTGTCGCTGATTTGACCGTCGCACCACCCGAATTTCCAAACTTGCCGATCTCCGTTGCCTAACCATCGAGATAGATACGATTACCTTTTCAAACTGCTCCTCATCGGTGACTCCGGTGTTGGAAAGTCTTGCTTGCTGCTTCGTTTTGCCGATGATACCTACACTGAAAGCTACATCTCGACAATCGGTGTTGACTTCGTACGTCCCAGAAGCCGCAGGGTATTTGGCCGCAAGAGAGTAGCGGTGCTGACAGGTCATTATAGAAAATCCGCACAATCGAACTCGATGGCAAGACCGTGAAACTTCAAATCGTATGGCGATATTGAACACCAAATATTTAAAACAAGGCTAATAATACATACAGTGGGACACCGCCGGCCAAGAGCGATTCCGTACCATCACATCTTCTTACTACCGGGGCGCTCATGGAATTTGCGTGGTTTACGATGTCACCGACATGGATTCCTTCAACAACGTGAAGCAGTGGCTCCAGGAGATTGATCGGTACGCTACCGAGGGTGTTAACAAGCTGCTCGTTGGAAACAAAAGCGATATGGAGGACAAGAAGGTCGTGGAATACACCGTTGCTAAGGTATGTTTAAAAAGAGACACAAGGCTGTTCGGGTAGACTACTAACACGGTTTGATTGCACTTTTACAGGAGTTCGCTGATAGTCTCGGAATTCCTTTCCTCGAAACTTCGGCCAAGAACGCGTCGAATGTTGAGCAGGCATTCTTGACAATGGCACGTCAGATCAAGGAACGCATGGGAACAGCCACTGTCAACAACAAGCCGACTGTGCAGGTTGGCCAGGGCCAAGGTGTTCAGTCTGGATCGGCAGGTGGCTGCTGCTAAACGACACGATGTTCTCTTTGTGTGGTGCGGTGCTTCACTTTGGCGCAATGTTACATCATGAATTGAGGGGTTCCAAGCGGCGTGGTATCTAATCGGCTGAAGTCAGGCTTGTCAGGTCTTTGGAAACTCGGCATATCCCTAACATATTCCTGATGGGCAAGGAGAAGCTTCTCCACGCAGCTGGCAATCGTTATGATAATGCCGTTGGGGGTTCTCTTGCCTTGGATTCACTTTAGACGGCCTGCGTTCTATCCTTGTTTCTGCGTTTGCTTATGCGATTATCGCCGGTTTCTGCGTTCTCATGATTTCCTGGCCACGTCTCTGCTCTATTACCTTGGCCCATCGTTCTCTGTGTCTTCCCCCTCCCCTTCACCTTTCTATTTTCTAGTTTCCCTTTTTTTTTCTGTAGGTTGGATTTCTCACTTGTGAATGGAATAATAGCGAGAACCTTGCGACTTCTCGAGGCATACTGCCTCACATGGGGCTACTTTTTCTATTATTCTATTATTTTCTGGTAAACTAGTGCATTGTATTATGTAGATTGTCTCCCGAGTTAAATATAAATGTACATTAATATGTACCGTTAAGGCATCTATGAAGATATATAATCACATGAAAGTCACAGGCGCCGACTCTAAAATAGTATAGATCATGATCAACACGTATATACAGTTATACCTTGGAAATTACTACTTAGGTAGACCGGAGATATTACCAATTCCGGGTTATTTGAATGTGACATATCTAAGCTACTCGACTAACATGCAGGTACCGAGAACATCAAGAGATCAAATCAAACTTATTCAACTATATATGTAAATAATCCTGTACAAGGTGAATTTTACGCTATGGGCGCTTCGGAATGCGGTGGAGTTGGGTAAAGAGCCGAGGTACACACTTCGGCAAAACGTCATGAACATCCCATCCCCCTTCAAGCCGACCCTTACGGTAAAGTTCAAAAACATTCTTAATCTGACACATTTCACCTCCTTCCTCTCTTTACAGGATATACGTTACACCTGAGTACACTTCAATATTCCAGCTCTTCCCATCATGTCTCAACCTGGGGCCGAGAGTAAGGCAGCATCTGCTGCTGTCCAGCAGAGTGATAACATCGCGCACGCGCTGGCAGGTGCGGGAGGGGGGGTTTTGTCGATGGTCTTGACGTATGCTTCCCCGCGTTTTCCCCATCGCTGCCGCTAACCGCATACCCACTCCAGATACCCTCTGATCACTTTGTCGACAAGAGCTCAAGTCGAGTCGAAGCGTGCGCACTCAACCACACTCGACGCCGTTCGCCGCATTGTACAGAGAGAAGGTATCTCGGGACTATACTCCGGCCTGGAATCAGCCTTGTTTGGAATCAGCGTCACCAATTTTGTGTATTACTATTGGTATGAGTTCACGCGTTCGGCCTTCGAGAAGGCCGCCATCCAGGGAGGCCGAGCCTCGAAAAAGCTCACGACGGTGGAGTCTATGATTGCGGGCGCCATTGCAGGGAGCGCCACAGTGCTGATCACCAACCCGATCTGGGTCATCAACACTCGCATGACTGCCCGCAAGTCTGAGGCGGAGGAAACATTACCGGGTGTCAAGAAAACAAAGGCATCCACCCTCAGCACCCTAATGGACCTCATCCGGCAGGATGGCCCCAAGGCCCTATTTGCCGGCGTCCTTCCGGCTTTGGTTCTGGTGATCAACCCAATTCTGCAATACACTATTTTCGAACAACTGAAAAACATGGTGGAGCGCCGCCGGCGTATGACGCCGAAGGATGCGTTCTACTTGGGCGCACTAGGCAAAATCATGGCCACCAGCCTCACGTACCCATATATCACCATCAAGAGCCGAGCTCATGTGGCCAGCAAGGATGGCCCCAAGGAGAGCTTGAACGGAAGTCTGAAGAGGATTATTCGGGAAGAAGGCTGGAAGGGGCTCTACAAGGGTAAGTAATTTTTGGTAATCATACCTGGTGGCTGTTCACTGATATATTTTCTAATAAAGGTATTGGACCGAAAGTCACGCAGAGCGCCATCACTGCTGCATTCCTTTTTGCGTTCAAGGATGTGCTGTATGATATGATGGTGTCTGCCCGTAGAAAGGGCCGTATTGCTAAATAGACAGGATATTTTTCCAAGTCTACCAGACCTATGTGACAACTCATATGGTCACGCTTTCTAGAGAGACAAGATTGGGACTCTCAATGTCCACCATGTATACTTGTTCGAATGCAAGAAATGCGAGTGTACGGAGGTGCTGACTTACATTTCATTTCTCCACTATGAAGAATGACTTGGTGAAGCTTCTTGGAAGTTCTTGGGAGCTTTCGGGGGCTATTTTAAAACGATACCCAGGTACTCTGCAAATATGTAGTTTAGTTATTTAGTTATGTTATTTGAAATCCACTCTTATACTTCTTTAATCATACTTGAGACCTGACCGCCTTACATTGTGTTCACCGCCCATCGCCGCTCTCACCCACGTTATCGCGTTCTCGACGCGATTCTGCTCCATTTCTCCACACTTTCTTCTGTATCTTCTACAATCTGGGCAATTTTCAGTTTTGCGCATTGATTCCCATGCCCCCCTCTCCTTCAATCTCTCTTTGAGCTTCTATACATACTTCTCCTAGGTATGCTTCTCTCAGTCCCTTTGGACGGGAAACCTCCTAATGCATGACAGATTTGAAGCTCGCCTCTCCGTTGTCGCATCGCCTTTGTGACCCTCTTACTCTCGGCTTCGAAGATCTGCGCTAGCTACAGATATTATCCATCCTACCCATCCAGAAACGACACCTTGAGCGACTGTATTGCCTAGGATCCTGCTTTGATAGGGCTGTCAAGGCTATACCGGGACAATTTCTTTCCTAGCAAAGCCATCCAAACACATAGGCTTGATTTTACCAAGGAAAGGAACAGAATCAGGTCTAAGGGACCGACGAGTGGGAAGGCAACAACGGAAACTCCAGGTTTAGTGTGAACAAAGTGAGAGCGGGGGGCCGATGTTATGTCTTTCTCACTTTGCCATCGTCCGACACCAGACGTGACTGAGCCTAAATTCATACCAATCAAGTCAAACGTGTGAGAGAACGCTCTTGTAACTTTTACTATCCATGCCTGACTTTTTTTTTTTTTCCTTCTCTTTAGCTCGGAACATCGGCTGTGGTATTAAAATGTCTCACGACTTTTCCAGTCTTAACGGCCAGGGTACTGTCCCTGCATTCCCTGGTCTATCAGCTCGAAGCATCCCGGAAAACCCAGATATTCAACGTGAGACTCTCCGTTTGCTAGTGCAGTATTCGAGGGTCTCTCTGCCACAAAATCCGTCAACCCCGGACACCTCTGGCCATACCAGAGACGAGATCCGAGATGCCTGGCAAACTCCGCGAACAGAAGTCCAGCCTAGTGAGACATCACCCCGATTCACGCGTTCCTCAAGTGGCAGCCATGCCACTCAACCTTCCCCTTCTCGCTCTGTCGCTCCTTCCTCTAGCAGTCCAATTCGAGTTCCCCCTCGCACATCTTCACGCGCTTCCTCCCGCGCACCTTCCCGGCTTACATCTCCTCAATCTGTCTCTGTCTCTTCCTCGCATGGTATCTCTCCCAGTCATCGCGAGCGCCAACGGACGCTTAGGGAGAGTGTGGCAATCTCAAATGCCAATAGGAAGGATGAGACAGTTGCACCTATATCAAAGCAGCACTTCTCTTACCCACCAGACACCATGTTATCTGCCTCCAGGTCATCTGACTCCTCGCGGTCAATATCCCCGACTGCCGAGCAAAGTTCCATTCGTCGTTCTAGTCGAAATAGAGTCCAACCAACCAACTATTACGCCAATCCTTGGGTCAATGTTTCCATTGACTCCGAAGAGCTAGGCACAAACGTCGAAGCTATTTTGGACACCGTGGCGTCTTCTCCACAGGAGCCGTGTCGCGTTTTGCCCCGTCGTGCGAATATTCAAAAGCTGCTGTACAACCGTGAGCTCGGAGGCGGAAATCATCTCCCCATTGTCACCGATGTAGTCTCGGACCTGAGACCATGGAAATCATGGCAAGGCGCTTCGGGGGATCTGCTTGTTCTGGCTTGGTCGCCTGATGGTACTCGGTTTGCGGCGGGCGCCGCAGCTAAATCAGACGAACATAATATGCAGTACAACAAGGCCAACAATCTTCTCTTAGGCGATCTGCAGAGCAATCGTTTGAAGGAAATTCCGGACCATTGGGTTCCACGGCCAACATCATCAACAGTTGATGATCCCCGGCTTTTCATGAGCGTCAATAACATGCAGTGGATTGGCAACAGACTCTACACCGCTAGCTTTGACAAAACTGTCAAGATTTGGGATGTGGAATCAATCCGCAACGTGTCCTGCACTCATACCTTGCAGCATGAGTCTCGAGTGTCAGTGATGTCCGTGTCGAGATTCAATCCGCATATCTTGGCTACTGGGACGGAATCAATTTTGGTCTGGGACACAAAAGATCCAGAAAATTTGACATCGACTCTCCTTCCCTTGGACCGCGATGCACGATATAAGCCCAACTTTGAGTTCTCATCAACGGCCCTGGCCTGGGGCCATACTCCGTCGACTGGGGAATACTTAGCCGGAGGTCTGGCCGAGCCAGGGGATGATCCAATATACAAAGGCCATTTGGGCTTATGGCGAGCCCGCGAATCCGCATATGAGACCATTAGGATGTCTTCTAACTCACAAAATGTCTTCGACATTAAGTGGCACTCTTCATTGCCCATCTTTGCAACGGCCAGTCCTGAGGATCCTCACAACGCGCGCATTAAAGGGATTGGCATTACCACGAAATCACTTGTGAGGGTATTTAGCCTCAACTATGACCTCCAAAAACGTGTGCCGTCTGTGATGGAATTTTCCTGCCCGGCATTGGATGTTAATGAGGTCAGCTTTTGTCCAATGGATTCAAACGGCACATATGTGACCGCTAGTTGCACAGATGGCAAAACCTATGTTTGGGATAATCGGAAAGGTGATAAAATTCTCCACGAACTTCGCCATAGGGCCCCCCTTAACCCGATTGATCACCAGCGAAGCCGGGAAACGGCAGACGTGGGTGTTAGGGTAGCTCTCTGGGGTTCTTCTATGGACCAATTTTATACCGGTGCCTCCGATGGTGTTCTTAAACGGTGGGACATTCGGCGGTCACCCGAAGATGTTCTCGTTGGGGACGTCGTAGCTTTCGATGAGGAGGTTATGTGTGCAGCCTTCACCGAGGATCATTCTCATCTCCTTGTCGGAGGTTCTGGAGGAGGCGTGCATATACTATCATCGGGTCCTTGTTCGGACCCTAACATAAAAACTTTCGAGTTCGAACATGCTCCAGAACCCGAAAAGGCCAGTGATAGTGGGATTGTTGTGGGAAACCAGCTCCTCCTATCTGGCCAGCTTGTCAAGCACGAAACGTTTGGTATGGGTCAAGGGCCCTCTTACACTGGGCCTTTTGCCTCGTGGGCTAGGAACGTCAAGCAAGATGTTTCTTCTGACCGAATCGGGCAGCTCCCTTTGCTCAAGAAGTACCAGAGCCAACAGTTGGATGGTCCACCACCAGAAGATCGTCATGAACTGGACTCGAACCAACGACGAGAGGTTGAGAGACAAATACAACTTGCGGAAATACGAAATCGAGGATTCCACAAGAGAAAATGCCAGGAGCATAATGATCCTTCTACGTTCATCTTCCAAGGCTCTGTATCGTTGTCTTCCCTTGGCTCTTTCCCAGCAGGGAAGAAGAGGAAGAGAAAAGCCGAGAAAATGGAAGCGAAAAAAGTGAAATGGGAAGAGGGTCAAGAGGAGAATGGACAACACCACAGAAAAGACAACAGAGAGGAGAAAGCCAAAAAGAAATCTCGGATGAAAAAGAAGGCTCGCAGGCTCTCCCGTCGGATAATCAGCAACACCGAAAACGTTGACTTGACTCTACTCGACTCGGATGCGGAGACGGGGACGTCACACCGACAGCGGTTTGACCTTGGGGAACTACTTGAGCTTCTTGAGGAAGATAACTGGTTCCCAGCTAGTGGAGAAATCGATCCTAACATCCAAAAGGAGATCGTCTAAGGTGACACCTTTCTCGACAGCGGTGATGTATTTTGCATAGCATTGAAGCGTGGAGTTCTGATTTGGTTTTTTTATCTTAAAGAAATTCACGTTGCAGCGAGAGCTATTCATGATATTGGTGGATGTCAATTTATAGGAGAATATGACCGATAAGCTGAAATCTTGAATGTGGTAGCCTGTAGGTGTGTATGATAGTTAATGTTACTATATATGGCCTCTATATGGTGACATCAGGGTACCGCCACCGATCTCGGGAGGCGCAGTCAATATGCCTGAGGCCACCATTTTCCGCTTACTTCCCGCCGAGTATATATCCATGAACCAAAGAACTCCTCTCTCTCACTCACTCTCATACACATTCTCTCACTTCCTCTTGTCCTCATTTAAACCTAACCCTTGGATCATCCTCAAAATTCAATCTTCCAGACTTGTAACCTATCCAAGCTAATCATACCTGTCACATCATGTCGTTCGCCCCGCCTTCCGGGCCTCCCCCGCCCTCGGTACCTGAGGGATGGAAAGCGCAGTATGATGATCGTTACCACGCTTGGTGTGTATTTACTCATCTCAATAAAGACCACAGTACTGACAATCAGCTAGGTTCTATGTGGACCTTGCCACGGGCAAATCGCAATGGGACCGTCCTGAAGCCCCCCCGCCGCGCGGTGACGGTAATTACACACCCAATTCTCTCCCGCCATCATATAGCAATGCTGGGCCTGGCGACCCAGCAGCACTAGCCAGGGCAGGAGACCAGAAGCAACACATGGGATCAAATAACCCCTATAACCCTTCAACAAATACTGGCCCCGGCAACGCCAGCCCTCATATGATCGACGAAGATGCACGGCTTGCTGCCAAGCTCCAAGCCGAGGAAGATGCCCGGGCCGGTACACGAGGACCCGGAGCCGGACCAGGAGATCGTGGCGCGTCATCAGACTACTACAACAATGCCTCGCGGCCACAGTCCACCGGCCCAGGGGGATATGCGGCGGCCTCGACATCGCATAGCCCGATGCCTGAGCAGGAACAGAAGCGCAGCAAGGGTGGATTTTTGAGCAAGCTGATGGGCAAGAGTTCAAGCGGCAGGTCGCCTCGGCCGCAGCAACAGTACGCCTCGTATGCCCAGCAAGGTCCTCCTCCTGGTGCATACTACGGCGGTGGTGGCTATCCTCCGCAGCATGGCCCCCAGCCTGGATATGGAGGAGGATATGGAGGATACCCGCAGCAGGGTGGATATTACCAGCAGCAACCGCCTCGCAGACAAGGTGGAGGAGGTATGGGGACTGCCGGCGCTGCTGCTTTGGGTGTTGGTGGCGGTTTACTTGGCGGTATGCTGATTGCTGATGCTATTGATGATCATCATGACAACGACGATTATGGTGGCGGTGGTGGTGATGATTATGGTGGTGGTGATGACTTCGGAGGAGGCGACTTTTAAGCTCGGTTGCGTTTCGTCGATTTCTTTGATTGTTCTGTTCTTTTTTTCTTCGGTTTGTTACTAGGATCGACTTCGGGATAAGGGACAGGTTTCTCTGTACAGCTCGAGGGACTTCTAGGCGTTTTGACATCGGGGGGGGGGGGGGGGGGGGGGATTTGGGAGGATTGCTTTTGTTTCGCCTAAACAGCTCTAGTCATTTATTGGCATTTGGCTTCAATTTTATGAGCCAAGAGCAGCTCCCGTTGACTTTGTATCATACAATTAGCCACCAGACAATGACAAGATACCATGCCAAGAACGGTCAATATAATGAAGTGATAATCTTCTATCCACGCTTCCGGGCAGGACCACTGGTATCTCTACCAGTTGAACCGGCCTGGGACGCATCGTTGGCCGTGGGGCTAGGGGCACCTGTACCCGCCATCCAGCTGGCCAGATCAAACCCACCACCAGTCATGGCATTGGCAGTGGCACCGGTGATGGGCGAGGAGCGAGAATGTTGCTCAAATTCGGCGCGCATCTCAGGATCCACTAGACAACAGAGTTAGGCCCCGGATATTTACTTCGGGTTATGAGGGATAGACATACTGTTATCCATGAGCTTGGGCATGACAAACATGAGACCTAGGGCGACAACTGCGAGCAAGACCATTGGGTTCTTGACAAGACTCAAGGGAGAGACTGCAATTCAATGCAAGGTTAGTGCAACTATAGACATTTATTGCAGATTGTATCGATGGGGGAAAAGGGAAGGGGCAAGCTCACATTGAGCACGCTGCTCATAGAAGACCTTTCGTCCAAGAAGCTTGGCCTCGACAACCACATCAACCTCCTTCTTTCCAGTAACATTCACAATATATTTCTCTGCGCCACGATTATCCCATGGGTTCCCGCGGAAAGTCTCCCAGATACCAAGAATGGATCCATCGGCCGCAACATCGACGCGGTAGGGGGCGAAGACGTAGTCACCAGCGGAGCGAATATCAAGCAAGTAGGACTCGGGTTGAGCATCTGAACCCGAGAATTGAAGATCATGGAACACAAATGTCGCCGAGCGTGTCAGCGATGCGGAAAAGACGTGGTCTTTCCCACCAGAGGGAAGAGTGGTGAGAGTGGCATGGCTGGTTGCGGGGAGGACATGTGGGTTTGGTAATGAACTGGAGACGGGGATGGTGATTGTCAAAGAGCTGGCAGATGCCAAACTGCTAATTCCTAGCAGGAGAAGAGAGGAGAGTGAAAAATGCATGGCGGAGATATGGTTGCTGTGAAAGACAAAGGGCCATGGGTTCCGATCAGCAAAGCAGTGTCCGTATCACGTGATGGATATCCTCTCCAGCTCTTGGATGTACAACCATACAAGCATCTACGAATCACCGAAACCACCGTCTTGTTTTTGTTTTTGTTTTTTTATTTCTTTCCCCCAAATCCCAGAGCATCATGCCTGTCTACCTTATTTCCAGGTACAAATAGTCCACAATAGTCCGGGACTGTATCCGACAAGAGACCCATTATTCTAACACCATATGAACAGGATCGCGGATCCCCTCTTCGCCTTAACCATGGGCGTCTCTGCTGCCCTCACCCGCATCCGCCGTGACCAGCGCGAACAGCACCCCGAACGCGTGTCGGAAATCACATACGGAAGCATCGTACAAACGAGCGGGCATCGGTTACAACGTTGGTGGAACGGAGACTTCCAAGATGTTTAAACGGAAATTGTGATCCTTCAGTTTGGAGTTTTGGTTTGGGAGAATCCCCAAAGAGAATTACAATTTATATTGAATCCTGAATCCTGAATCTTTGTATTCTATTTGTACATGTTTACATACACGAACTGACCGTCCAATTGCACCGGAATGGTCATCCTCTACACTTGCGCGGTACAAGGGAATGTAATTCTTGTATGGCCTCATTTTCGTACAAGTCTAGAGGGCTAGCTTGATGAGGTGATCTCACTAGTTATGATCTACAATCTACAGAAGAAAAGAGCGGTTTTGAATTAAAAAGAATTTTGATTCACTAGGATTTTTTTCCCTAGAAAAAGAGATAACCTTGTATCTATGCAATCATGCGCAAAAGGAAACCTTGATACCCCATAAGTTCGTAAAACAAGACGTGAAAGAAAACGAGTGCCAAATGGCAAATAAAGAATCATTCAGAGCGAAACGTTTAGTCAAGCTCCTCGGGCTTCTCCTCAACCTCGTCAGCGGAGCGAGCACCACCCTCGGGGGCACCAGCGCCAGGGGGAGCCTGGCCACCGTAGGCAGCGGAGATGATGGGGTTGGCAACAGCCTCGAGCTCCTTCTGCTGGGACTCGTACTCGTCCTTCTCAGCAGTCTGGTTGCTGTCGAGCCAGCCGATGACCTCGTTGATCTTGTCCTCGACCTTCTTCTTGTCATCCTCGGAGATCTGGAGCTTGCCCTCGGAAAGAGTGTTCTTGAGGGAGTAGGCGTAGGACTCAAGGCCGTTCTTGGCCTGGATACGGGCAGACTCAAGCTCGTCCTCCTCCTTGTACTTCTCAGCCTCGGAAAGCATGCGCTCGATCTCCTCCTTGGAGAGACGGCCCTTGTCGTTGGTGATGGTAATCTTGTTGGACTTTCCAGTACCCTTCTCGAGGGCGGAGACGTTCATGATACCGTTGGCATCAACATCGAAGGTGACCTCAACCTGGGGAACACCGCGGGGGGCGGGGGGGATGCCAGTGAGCTCGAACTTTCCGAGGAGGTTGTTGTCCTTGGTGCGAGCACGCTCACCCTCGAAGACCTGGATCAGGACACCGGGCTGGTTGTCAGAGTAGGTGGAGAAGGTCTCAGACTTCTTAGTGGGGATAGTGGTGTTGCGCTTGATCAGAGGAGTCATGACACCACCAGCGGTCTCAATACCGAGGGAAAGAGGAGCGACATCGAGAAGGAGGATCTCGTTGGTGGACTTGGAAGACTGGTCACCGGACAGGATAGCGGCCTGGACAGCGGCACCGTAGGCAACGGCCTCATCGGGGTTGATGGACTTGTTGGCGTCCTTGTTGAAGAAGTCGGAGACGAGCTTCTGGATCTTGGGGATACGGGTAGAACCACCGACGAGGACAATCTCGTGAACGGAGGACTTGTCAATCTTGGCGTCACGGAGGACACGCTCAACGGGCTCCATGGTGCCGCGGAAGAGGTCCTGGCAGAGCTCCTCGAAACGGGCACGGGTGATGGAGGTGTAGAAGTCAACACCCTCGAAGAGAGAGTCGATCTCGATGGAGGTCTGGGCAGCGGAAGAGAGGGTGCGCTTGGCACGCTCGCAAGCGGTGCGGAGACGACGGAGAGCACGGGCGTTGGTGGTCAGATCCTTCTTGTGCTTACGCTTGAACTCGTTGACGAAGTGGTTGACCAGACGGTTGTCGAAGTCCTCACCACCCAAGTGAGTGTCACCGGCAGTGGCCTTAACCTCGAAGATACCCTCCTCGATGGTCAGGAGAGAAACATCGAAAGTACCACCACCAAGATCGAAGATCAGAACATTGCGCTCACCCTCGACCTTCTTGTCAAGACCGTAGGCAATGGCAGCGGCAGTGGGCTCGTTGATGATACGGAGGACGTTGAGACCGGCAATGAGACCGGCGTCCTTGGTAGCCTGACGCTGAGAGTCGTTGAAGTAGGCAGGGACAGTGATGACAGCGTTGTTGACGGTGCCACCGAGGTAAGCCTCGGCGGTCTCACGCATCTTGACGAGGATCATGGCAGAGATCTCCTCAGGGGTGAACTGCTTGGCCTCACCCTTGAACTCAACCTCGATGACGGGCTTGGTAGCCTTCTCGACGATCTTGAAAGGCCAGTGCTTCATATCGGCCTGGACCTCAGCGTCCTGAAAACGGCGACCAATGAGACGCTTGGCGTCGAAGACAGTGTGGTGGGGGTTCATGGCGACTTGGTTCTTGGCGGCATCACCGATGAGACGCTCGGTGTCGGTGAAACCGACGAACGAGGGGGTGGTGCGGTTACCCTGGTCGTTGGCAATGATTTCAATGCGGTCATCACGGAAGACACCCACACAGGAGTAGGTGGTTCCCAGATCAATACCGACGGCGGGAGCCATGGTGAATGTGTGTAATCGTTAAAAAGAAAAGAAGACGGTGTGTAGAAAGAGATTCGTGAGTGAAAAGGGTAGGTAGTATACAAAGAGGAAGAGGGTATTTGATAGTGAGAGAAGGAAAGAAGAAGAGGAAGGGGACGAGGGCTGAGAAAAGTTCCTATATAGTGAGCGGTGTATTACTCCAGAAGCTTCTAGAGGGACCTTCCATGCGGATCCATGAGATTCCACGAGGTTCGATGGCCCAGCAACCACCTCATTACGTTCTTCATCAAGACTCTAGTAGGTTCCAGATGAGCCCAGTGGAGCCTTCAGCTCGACAAATTACTTGATTATCTTCAAAATTATTGTCAACGATGTCAATTCCTATTTTTCTTCTTTTTACTCTGATTCATGTTTTTCTTTGACGTTCTCTTTTTTTTTTATGGCGGGGCTGTATGACGTAATAGTGGGATGACTCTTAAGGCGGTGTCAGATTATGGTATCAATGCAGGGTCAGTACATGATAAATACGGAATAAATACAGGATTAATTCCCGTCGCTATGGGAGACCCCTTTGATTTGTGTGTTTTTAGATGAAGATAAATATGTACATCCATGTATTGTTGGTAATGGTAAGGTCAATTATGCATACGTCATGGTGAATTCATGACCTATGACCCCATCAAAATCATATTGAACATAGTTATCCTACCAGTTTTTTTTCGTGGACTTCGGAATTCGGAATGAGTGTTTCCCCGGGCAATGGGTAATGTTGTAGTCAACTAGAAAATAAATTATGTAATCATTTCTAACCCCGGAATCGGTGTAACATTTATCCAGATTCTCTCCTTGAGGCGGAAACTGGAGCCCAAGGCAGAGACTAAATTTCGCACTTTCTGGGAATATCTTATATGTTGTACTTCCCTATCCCTAAGTAGTCTGTA